CATGCAATTTCTGTCCTTGAGTCAACTAATACTGAAAATTAATTTATTAATTTATATATGTTGAGCCATCCCTGCATCTTTGGGGTAGAACGGGCTTGATTATGGTGGATGATCTTTTTAAAGTGTTTTTGAATTCAGTTCAGCAGAGTTTTATTGTGTTTATTTTTGTGTCTATGTCTATCAGGAAGACTGGTCTACAATTTTCTTTTTTTAGTGTGTCTTTATCTGATTTTGGCAATCGGATAATTCTGCCTTCAGAGAAAGGTTTTGAAAGCAATCTTTCATTTTCATTTTATGGATTAATTTGAGAAGCATCAGTTTTAGTCTTCTTTAAAGTTCTGGAAATATTTTATGGTGAGTCCATCTGGACCTAGGCCTTTTTTTGGTTTGAAGTTGTTCTTTTTTATTTTTTAACTTTTATTTCAATCTTGTTTTGTTTAAATTTGTTATCTGTTCTATGCTTAGCCTTGGTAGGACATGCGTTTTGAAATTCATCCATTTCTTTTAGGTTTTTCAATTTGGTGAAATATAGATATACACCCTTATGGTTCTCTGGATTTCATTGGCATCTGCTGCAATTTCTTCATTCCCATCTCTAATCTTTTGGTCTTGGGAAGCTAATTTGGCTAAGGATTTATCAGTTTTCATTAGTTTGTCAATAAGAATCAACTCTTCCTTTCATTGATTTTCAAAATTGTTTTTCCTGTTTTTGTGTAATTGATTTCTTCTTTGATTTTAAATCATCCTGCCACTGTTCAATAGTGTATCATTTAGTCCCCACAAATTTGTATATTTTCTGTAATTCTTGCCATTTTTATTTCTAGTTTTATGCTATATAGTCAGATAGAATGCCAGGAGTTATTTTAATTTTCCTGTATTTTTTGAACAAGCTTTATGCCCTAATATGTGATTGATTTTAGACTCCATTCCTTGGACTGCTGATAAGAATATGTAACCTGTAGCATTTGAGTTGCATGTTCTGCTGATGTCTGTTAAGTCTATTTTATATATAGTATCATTCATCTTGACTGTTTATCTATAAATTTTTCACCTGTATGACCTGTCTATTGGGGAGGGGGAGGGGGAATTGAGGTCACCTATTGTTGCTGTGTTGGGATTAATCTGTGACTTTAAGTCTAGTAGTATGTGTTTTATGTAATTGGTCATGCGTGTATTCAGTGCACGCATATTTAGAACTGTAATGTCCTCTTGATGACTAATCACCTTAATTAGTATGAAGGGTCCTTCTTTATCTCTTCTTCCATGTGTTACTTTGAAGTCTGTCTTGTCATCTATCAGAATAGTGACTCTTGTTTCCTGGTTCATTTGCTTGGAACACCTTTGTCCCTCCTTTCGAAGTTGTTATTACTCTTTGGTGTGGAGGTTGTTTCTTTCTTTCTTTCTTTCTTTCTTTCTTTCTTTCTTTCTTTCTTTCTTTCTTTCTCTCTTTCTCTCTCTCTCTCTCTCTCTCTCTCTCTCTCTCTCTCTCTCTCTCTCTCTCTCTCTCTCTCTCTCTCTCTCTTTCTTTTTTAGGCAACTGTTATGAAGCAATCTCTCCTGAAATAAAACCTCCATCTTGGAGGGAATATCCTTTAGACACAATATGTTCTAATATGAAGTGAAACAGTTCATCTTTCAGGTGCATGTCACCCTGACCACAGTCCATGATGTGTTAGCATGTGCACTGAGATGTGCCTGTTCTGACTGTTGCTAGCCATCTGAGTGGAGCTGTTTATCATTAGGAAAGCTACATCTAGGTTTCATGGTGGCCTTTATCCTAGTTGTCTTGGTAACAGAGCCAATAGACTCTGCAAGGTGATCTGGCTAAAGTTTCTGGGTACTTCATACAGAGTAGTGATGTACTAACTCCATTATAACTCGTAGGAATGAAAGAAAAAAATCCTTTTCCACATAGCTCTAATATGTTCCTATTAGCGTCTGACAAGGGACACTCAAGCAGGCTATGTTTTGCATATGAAGTAGAAACAACAAAGGTTCAATTGTTAGAGAGAAACCATTATTCTGAACTGAACCTCTGTGTGTATGGCAGTGAGGGAGGTGTAAAGGTGTGTGTGTGGGCACATGTATGATGTGTATGGTGCGTGTCTTGGTGTGTGTGTGTGCATGTGCATGTGGAAGCTAGAGGTATTGTTTCTCAGGAACCATTCCCCTTGATTTTTGAAGGAGAATTTCTTAATGGGGTCTGGGACACCATTAGGTTAGGATACCTGACCAGTGATCATCAGGGACCCTTTTGTCTCCCCTTTCCCAGCACTGGAATTATATAAGCACACACTATCATGCCAAGGTTTGCTCATGACTGATGGGCATCAGCTGAGGCTCTTGTGCTTGCATACCAAGAGCTATTTCTTCAGCCCCCAAGAACTCTGTATCAATAGCCTTGTACAGTCTTGAGGGCCTGTAGAATCAGGATGTGCTCAGTGAAAATGGAATGTGCTCAGTGCAAACCTAAACAGCAGTTCCAACTTGTGATAGTGACTTTCAATTTCTTACCCAGTGTCTAAGTCACTCTCACCCTTATTAGTGCAATTCCATTTTTTTTTTGTTTTTTCAATGAGACATAAGCTGATGGATCCTGAGAAAGATGCTCTCCTGGCAGGGAGACATATCTTCCTACAACCTTTTGGCTTTTTTCTGAGCGTAAACATGGAAGTGGTACACAGAACTGGAACAACCATTAGGAATTATGCATAAGGGCTCTATTATTAAAAAAGTACTAATTATTGCAGACTTTATTCCAAATGTTTTTGATTGCTCCAAATAATAACTACCAATTCTGTATTGATTTTACGTTTAAATGCCTCCTAATTTACTTACACTGCTATTTTCATGGTTGTGTATGTTTTGTGCCAAGCATATCGATTAGAAAGTATAGAATTCTAAGATAAATCTGCATGTATAGAAAAGAATTACTCCAAAGAATTTAGTAAGCATCTCATAAACTAAATCCTAAGACAATGAGCAGAAATTTTAGGCAAGAAATTAAAATAGAACTGGCTATGAGAAAGCAAAGCATGGGTAGGCTGATGAGAAATTCATAATTAAAGGTCTCTTCTTAGAATGTCTTATTGACCCTCTCTGCAGCAGGAAAATACTTCTAAAGATAACAAAATATAATGGATAGTCAGTGCTAATACACAAAGGTGAATATAAATATCACAGAATAGTGATTAAAATACACTGCTTTAGATGAGCTTTCAAAAACTAGAAAAATGTGATAATGTGAATAATATTTTCAAAATTTAGGAACACTAATTGTGGAAACTTGTATTTAGAAGATGCATGTTTTCTTATAGGATGTATTAGCTCAACTGCAAAAATACAAAGTCGAAAGTCAGTGGAAAATCAAGATAAGTTTTGAGAAAACGGTAGCTCAAAGATTTGATGTTAATATAAAACAACAACAACAAAAAAACCCAATACCATCCACAATTGGGAGATACGGCTTTGGAAATTTAGTATATTTACTCTCATTTTGAGTGTTCAAACATAGGATATTGTAGAGTTTAGGGAGATCATGCATGCTGGCCAAATGCTTTCGAAGTTCCTCATATCTGAGGACTCTCTAGAATCAGTGCAGGAGGTGACATCTTGAGCATTTTGCAATTACCTACCACTAGACGTACTTTGATAGGTATTGGATGACTTAATATAGTCCAAACCTCTGATGCAGAAGAGCCAATCAGCACTTTCCAGCTTCTTTGTGTCATGGTCATCTAAAAGAACTAGGTAGGATGCAATGTGTTGAGTCACTCTCAAGCATGTCACTTCTTCTCATTTTTGTCAAGAGCTCCCAAATATCTCCTTTAGGTTTGTATCCCATTTTTCTCTATCTGTGTACTTCCATTTGTGGTCCTTTTTTATCTGGAAAATTCATTTTATCACACATTCAAGTGAAAATTCTTTGTCTCAGAATTTATGGTTTGTTTCTACCCATTCTGTTGATTCTTGGTTATACAAGTGTCTTAACTACACTGGCGGACAAAGATTTATCACTTTTATTTAAGGTTGTGTCCATTCATTTTTTTCCCTAGTGACTGATGGTGCCTTCTTTATAGCAGGCATTTCATAATGTTGGAGGATTATAAATGTTTGGATAGTATCATCAAACCTCCAACACATCTCAAATTAGTGTCCAAGATGATTCTTTAAAATGCACACATGCAGAGCAGTGAGATGTGAGTAGATTTCTTTTTGCAGGGGGTGTTAAAGAGTGACTTTATAGATGATGCGAATAAAGCTAAGAAAAACCAATTACAACTTATGTCCCAGTGATGATATTGGAACCTCTTTGTGAACTGCCAGTTTGTTCAAGAATTCTGGATGAACAACCAAAAACTCCCCAACAGATAAAGGACTCAAATCCAGAAACTGCACTGACAACATTTTTTAATAACTTTTCATTTTTATTAGTCTCAGCTCAGTTCCTTTCCAGCCTCATGTTATGTACTGTTTTCTTGCTTTATTCCTAAGTAGTTCCCAAACTTGGCGCACATATGGCTCTCTTTTAAATAATTTCCTCTGTCAGATGGTCCTCTTTCATCTTGGTTTCTACAAAGCAGTTATCTTTTCTGCTTTCTGAAATCCCTTCCTTTCTAGACTCCATTTCTGCATCATCAGTGGTGTTCAACTTCTAAGTGACATGCCACTGTAACACATTTTCAGGGGCATCCTATCGTTCATGTGTCTAACTTTCTTAGATTTCAGAGATGATAATTTAGTTTGTGATCTCTAAAGTCAGCCAAGTATCTAGATGAAAAATTATGAATAATGAAATAAAGGTTATGTACTCTAATTCTTGACCCTAGAGGAGCAGGTGTCAGGTCACCACAGGTATCTTTGTAATTAGAAAATATTATTTACCTTTGAGTGTTGAGTAAAATTTAATTGATTCCCCGTCTGTAAAGCCATATCTTTTTGTGCACAACACACTTTTTCAGCCATGCAATTTATCATAGAAACACTAAAAGAAAAAGAGAGACTTCTCGGTGAAGTTTAATGTTTGTTTTGTTTTGTTTTTTTTAAGTGCCAGTATTCTACATGCATGAGTAACTCAAGATTTTAATTTCTTTTCACTTCAGGAAGGTTGTGGTGTATAAACAGTTTACAAAGCTGATCTCAAAAAAAACAATGACTTAAATAATCTGTGCTTTAATGAAAAACAAATATTAATCTGCTTGGTTTCTCATATAACATGTTTATTAAAAATTTTTAGTGTCAATCATTTGTTAATATTATAACACTTAACCTTGAAATGGAGCTAATAATGACTCTATTTGTGGCTATATATTTTAGATTTTTAAATGGCTTTGAGTAAAATGAATGCTACTGTCATTGTGTTGTGCTTGGATGCACAGACAAAGAAACAGCAGCTCATTGTTTCCAGCTAGTAAAACTAATGCTGCAATGCTCAATGCATTATTTTAATGCTGTTATAGTGTTAAGCGCTCTCTTTTTTGCTTTTATTTGTCATTGAAGCTCAATATACCATCCCTGAACATTAGCAATTTTCACTCAATTTGGATTTAAATATTGACTTTAATTATGGTCACCAAAATGTCCTGATAAAGATCAATATGTCACTTCCTTTGCCTATCCTTCAACCAGTTTTCAAACCTCAGATTGGAATGAGATTTCTATTGGGAATTATAGCTTTCTAAGAAACATTTTAGACATTAAACTATTGCTGCATCAGAGGAGATTAAAAAATAACCAATGTTCTGAAGGAGTATGTGCTTTAGTATTGTTCCCACCTGTTTCTTTTTTTATTATAAAGTGGCAATTTGTACTATCATTAGAAATATACATTTATATATAAAGTTTTGCATTCAAGTCTCTTTATTTTTGACTACCTAATGAAAGTCCACAGATCAAATAGAAACTTTATATAATATATCCTCATTTCAGAAGCATATGTATATATACACATATATATTTGTAGAACAATCCACAGTTTTAAAGGTGATTCTGGCTTAAAAAATGCTATTTACAATCTATGACAGAGTAATAACCTCAGCCTTTAGTGGCATTAAAATGAGCAGGGAATTTTTAAGTTTGATTATGTCTCATCTTGTGCAGAAAAAATGAAGCAACTTCATGGAAAACCTTTTCAAAAGCAAAGCCTTGTACACTAAGCCACAGGGTATAAGGGTAGCTTTTCTATTTCTGGGTCTATGTTTTAAAATATAAATCACTGTTGACATACTCATGCTTCTTCTCCAAGCAACCAGGGGTTCCAGATTGGACCTAAAGACAATTCAATACACAACAACCAAGTTACACTCCATCCTTCCCTCTTGTTTCAATACTCTCAACACTTCTCTGTGGCATGACAGAATCACTGATTGAGAAACAATACCTAGCAACAGTATTGCCATGTTCTTAGGTAGAAGAGTTATTCTGTATAAATATCTGAATTAGAATGAGGCCCATAATGAATCACATTATATTACATAGATGTCTATTCACTGTGCCAATCCATAATGGCTAACAATGTCTTATGAACTTCATAGATGTAATTCAAAACCCAAACTATCACTATGATCAAGAAAAGGATGGCTTACTGTGTTCAGTCTCCTGAAGCACAAGGTCTCTAAGTTAGCAAATAGAACTTCAGCACCATTTGTTTCTAAACCTCAAACATCTAGCTAAAATATCAAGTAAAGAATATTGACCAAAAAGCCATTCTATGAGACTCACAGAATTTTTGTTTTCATTATGAAGACCATTCACTTAAGACATAAGGGCTCCGATAGTTCTCTACTAGAGTCCTTTCCTGGGAATATCCCCTTGCATTGTTTTGGAAACTACAAAAAGGAAACCCTTATTGCAATTAAAGGAGATGAGATGATTGATGAGTTGAAGCTAGGAAATAAAATAAAGATGATCACAGTGAAGATATCAGTTGGAAATCAAGCTGAAAAACAACCATCGAAACGGGCTCATGTTTTTAAGTGAAACTGGACATTTATATGCTTATATTTCTTCATGGATTTTAAAACTTAAGTCAGTGAATATTGGTTCTATTTATGCTTTTCATGTACTTAAAAGGCAACCAAAGACTAAACAAAGGTTCACCCTGTGCTCTAAACCACATTTTTCTAGGCTTATGAATAAAAGGAATGTGAGGCTTTCAATTTGTTTTTGAAGTCAGTTGTAAATGAAGCAAAGTTAATTTCCAAAACACATTTACAATTGCTAAACACAATGTGGAGGGAAAACTAGAGACAATGTGAGTGGTGAGAAAGCTTTTTAATTACTGATATGATAGGGACAAAGGTGTGTCTGTATGATGAATGATTGACAACCACTGAAAATAGAGATGGGATTTTATTAGAGATCAATATCAGATTATATTTTCATAAATAATGAGCTTAAATTTCTATCATGAAATCATCAATGAGATGGGCAACTGTGATTTCCACCAATTGTATTTCCTGTGGACCCTCAGCTGCATTATGGTTGAGTAAACATATCACCTTAAAACCTCTAGGCACTTCCCTCTAAAAGAGCCCATGACCCATTTTGTTGAAGCCTCTTTATTTTTTTTTTCAAAGAAAATAAGGCTTTGTGCTTGGGATTTGTTTGGTCCTGGAAGTGACAGGTGTATTTATAATCAAGCTGGATCAATAGTGACAATGAATACAACTCCTGAATACAGCTCTTTAAGTGGTTATTCTTTTCCTAAGAGAGCAATATTCCTTATATAAAAAATTAAATGTATCTGTTACTTTCCCTACATTCTGATTTAAAATGTGTACAAATGCCTTGCCTTTGTGCGTAACTGCTGTTCTTTGTAGTTTTAAAGGAAAATTCCTCCAGTACATTTTCTGCCATTGTCCAGAGAACATAATTAGGATACTTGATAGGACAAGAATCACACTGAAGAATAATGATGTGTAGAGGGGAGACACTACACTGACCTTGAAAGAATACAGCAACCAGTGGAAAGGTTCAAAGTGAGGGCCAAGATCTTCTGCAAAGTATGTGTTTTAGGGGTCATATTTGGAATAATACATGCTGGACAGTAGAGATATAGGAGAAGTTACATGCTAAGTCTTCTCATTATAATATCCATAAATCTGCAAACATTTTTAACATTCTAGTTTGGTTTGTTTTAATTTGGATGTCTCTACACCCTTCCTGATTTCCAGGCCTAAGTAGATCTAGTAATTCCAGAATGCCATGGTATAACTTCATGCCTTTGTTAATGTTTTCTAGTACTTCAGTATTCCTAACTGTGTGTTTGCTTGCTCTTACATGGAGTTCTTTTTCACGACACAAATCCACCGACAAAACACTGTCTATTGGAATCAAGGCTGTTAATTCCACATTTTTTTTCCTCACCATCCCTTGAAAATTCCATGTTTAATTAGTTATCTTCTGTTTTCTAGAAGACAGAATTATTGCAGTCTAGTCTTTTAAATTGGATAACACTAACAAAGCTACTGGCTTCATAGATGGTAAGTTAGGAATCTCACTACCACGCCTCCTGATTTCTCATAGAGTTTGGAAAACATCTACACATAGAAGTCTGGCAAAGTAAAAAGGCAATTAAAATTTGCTTTGACTCTAAATCTCAGGCTTATTTCCTTAGGCAAAACCCACTTTCCTTCTTCCCTGCTGCAAGATATGGTAAAAAAAAAAAAAAAGGACAGCTTTCTATGACAGCTAGACATGCACATAAACACTCAAAGGTACCCACAGATCAACACTAAGACTGAATGGAAAAAAGCAAGAAGCCTGTGCTTCTTCACCAGACATAGCAATGGCAGGGGGTTCCCTACATCTTCTCAGAAACACAACAAAACCCTTTCCCCTAAATGTCAAAAAAATAATGAAATCCCAGATCAATACCTAGATAAAAATATGATATTCTTTTAGGAAAAACTCTTTACAAAGGAATTAAATCAGCTAATATGATTAAATTCAACACAAGATTTTCATTTTCTAAAATAAAAAAAATATTATCAACATCAAGAATAATGTTTAAAACCTTTCTTCACGCTAAATGGCCCCTGGCTATATGTCTGACAGACATTAGAAGAATATAATTTTGACATGTTCAAATTTATGATTGAAAGAATGTCCTGGAAACAGGATGTAATTGTGTATCATTTACAGAAGTCTAAAGAAAATACAAATATGAAACAAAACTGCACATCACAGAATTCTCTAGAACGTAAAGGCATTTACAGTTCAACAACATTTTTTAAGTGGCTTTCTCAAAACCTTTTCCATCAGTTCAATGACTGTATTTTGTCTGCATTATAGTCTTCATTGCAACTAGCCCTCTGTTAATAACAACACACTTAAATTTAGTGTTTGTGGAGTCCTGATTTATTTTTTTCTTTGCTTTTATGTGCAGTAATTGTTATGCATGTGAATTATCTACCACATTGCAACAGGCAAGCTTTGGTTCAATTTTCTTGTCCTACACAAAGGAAGATTTTGAGTGCAGAATCTCAGCTACTAAGTCCTGTGATGCCGTTTTATTATTTTTTCTCTTGTTGGGGTGGATTTATTGGAAAAAATTGGGGAAGGGGCGGGAGGAGAAGGGAGAGGGTGGGGAGGGCAGAACAGGAGGAGTTCTCAGCTATGTAGAGTCTTGATTCACAACTTTGCCGCCATTCATGGTGGGTGTTCCCGAGCTTTTTCTTGAACGGCCTTGCTTTTCTCCAATTTCATGTAGCGATGGTTCTCTGTACATACACACTGGAAGGCAAAAAGCACAAAAAATTACTTATGATGATCAATATAGATATGGTTTCAATTAACTTCCTGAATCTGACTTTAGAATGTTCAGAATATTTAGAATATTCAGAGCATCCTTCATCAGAAGTGATACCTGGATGAGGATAGAGAAATAGAAAAATATCAATTTATTTCCTTCATTGGCCCAGACTTCCTTCACCTAAACTAAGGCCCAGAGCCCATGTACAGTTAGCTACTCTTCAATAGGGAATGTGGCTATTCAATGGAAGATTAAAATCACATCCTCTCTTCTCTGTCTGCCTCTAAGTTTGTCATCTGAGAGCTATCACGGCTTTTGTTCAATTATCACTTAGAATGAGTAGGGTTTTCCAGTTCATAGCTATTCTTACAAGATAAATCACCACAATGAGCCTTTTAACCTCACTGGGCTGTTATGATAGAGACGAATGTGTCTATATAGGCATATTTTACTTAAGCATCAGGAGTTACTTTCCTTCTTAAAATAAGAACAAATAAATATCTTTGTCTATTCTGGCTATTATCACTACAATGGTTCAGTAATTTGCATGGTGCTTCCAAAATCAAATAGTTTCTTTTCTTGGGTAAGATTGGGGAATTTACATCTTCAGGAGCTGGACTATTTGGTCCATAGGCTTACTTAGTTGTTTATTGTCTGTCAACCCAGGCACACTTTTATGATGGAAAAATGGCATTTTTATCAGCAGGAATAGGTAACAAACATCTAAAATGATCAAGAAATATAAAAAAAAATGCCATTCATTAAGATTTTAGACAACATGTTGTAGAGAATACAGGATAAACTGTTCAGATCTAAGCTATTCCACTACTTCCAAAACATACAAAAACACAAAAATACAAAGCATGTTTCCTCTGACACTAGTTCAGTAAAAAGACAGGTTTTTTTTCCCCCAGTGTGTTAGTAGTGTATTTAGCAGTACTATGCATTTATACTGAGTATGGGTATTGTTGCTGTGTGACTTATGAGCCATTAGTTGTGTGGTGAGTTTGGGATCCTCTGCTTTTACTAAGCTACCAGATGATGCTGATGAAATACAATACACGTTCTCTGAGTAATACAGAATATAGATATGAAAGATGCTTTTTCAATGTCTTATGCAAGAGTATCACACATCTATTTTTGAATGACATGTTTAAACCTTTCATTTATTTCCATGAATATTTCTAATATCTCCAAATGCTGTTGGTTGAAGTGAGTGCAACCTATAGGTAAGCTTTGCACTAATAGCTGAGAGAGTTGATTCTGATGTTTTCAAGTGGTGTAAATAGGTAACTCAACTTCTTTGACAATAACAATAAGAATCCTAGAAAAATCTTATAGTATAGCCCACTAGATTGTTGAAGTCCCTCAAGAGTCCTAGCTCTTAATTGTATTTCTGTTTTGAGGAAAGTAGAGCAGGTACCAAATCTCCAAGGTGAAGGCAAACTTTTATTTGTGCATAATCTATCCACTTATCTACCACTGGCTAATGCACAGGGCAACTCAAATGTAATGAAGTGATTCCACTGGCAAGCAGTCCACAGGCCGCCAGGAAGCAGTTTTCTGAACTCCACTACCTAATTGGCTGTGAAAACCCACAGTCTCCAGGCTCCAGCACAGATCACTTAAATCATCATCTCAATGGATAAAAAGAACCTTTCTGTTTAAATACCCAGAAAAAAATATTGGACCTCAGATGACTTCAAGATCATCTTAGGGGAACACTTGAAGGGTGTGATATTGCTTGATAACCACTAAATAATGTCTTTGAATAGTTGATTTCTTAGAGTTGCACCATCCCTTCTGTTCTCATTATATAGATTCTACCCAAGTTATACATTTGAGCATTTATTTTATGTATTTACTATTTCACACATATACACAAAGTACTTGAAGTATAAACACACACATATTAGCACTAAACTTAGTGCTACAGGCAAATTTTCCAATAATTGAACCCTACTGGCCATCCTTGAAATGGAGTCTGCAAAGAAATTTCCAAACTGACCTCTGGAATTTTGTAGTTTATCAAAGTAAAACTTAATAATGCTACAACAGAAGATGCAGTTTTTCTTTTAGGGTAATTCAGTCACTACTGTTAAGGATTATGTCCTTAATTATGTCACCAGCCTGCGATGGCGTCCCAGCCTAAAAAGCGGGTGTGCCCTCTCTGTGTTTCCTCTCTTTCTGTACTCTCTCTCCTTCCACCTGCCCCCTGCCTCTGTGTGCTCTTTCTTTCTCTCTCTCTCTCTGTCTCTCTCTGTCTCTGTCTCTCTGTCTCTGTCTCTGTCTCTGTCTCTCTCTTTCTCTCTCTCTCTCTCTGTCTCTCTCTCTGTCTCTGTCTCTCTGTCTCTCTCTGTCTCTCTCTGTCTCTCTCTGTCTCTCTCTGTCTCTCTCTCTCTCTCTGTCTGTCTCTCTCTCTCTCTCTCTCTCTCTCTCTCCCTCTCTCTCAATAAAGCTCTAGAAAGGTAACCATGGATCGTGATTCTTCCGCCAACCAGCACTCTCCTCTGTTGGCATGGCCACTGCAGGCGGCGGCTAGCCACAAGCGCGGCGTAACCAACAACTACCCTCTTTATATACCCTATTAAACTGAATAATAAAATTCAGGGTTTTCATAAACCAAATGATTAACAAGTATGTTTTCCAGGTCACTGAAAGAAACTGTCCCTCATCCACCCAATGAATCAAATAGGTATTTTATTCTCTACATTTCTGTTTACAAAGTGGATTTGGATTGTAAGACAAAGAAAAACCAGGTCATTCTGGGAGTTGCATGCAAGTACAGAAATGGGAAGGAGCAAGGCAGCGAGGAGAAGAGGAAGGGTAGGAGGGAGGGAAGGAAGGAGGGAGGGAGAGAGGAAAAGAGGGAGGGATGAATAGACAGAAACAGAGACAGAGAACTATTAAACCAATTACTTTTTCATTATCATTTACAAGTCCTGGGACTCAGCAGAACATCTAACTTTAGACTGTAACAAGTAAAGGGCTCCAGCTCCCAATCAGATTTTAGAACCAAAATGTACTTTACAGAGTGCAACTGAATTCAGTTACAACATGAAGAAAAGGGAACAGGGAAAGGACAAGCACTCTTCAGTGTGGTGACAGCCACCTCTACTAGTTGTAATAACTTTCTTTGAGTCAAGTTCTGAATACTTCAAAATAAATCATGGAACAAAATTTAAGAAGTGACAAAGCATAAGATGTCTGACAAACATATTGTAAGTCAAAATGTAAACTGTTAATGCCACAAATAAATCTGTCATTTTGAAGTATTCAAAGCCACTTTAAATCGATCCTCTCATTTACTGAATAGAATAACTTTGTGATCACCAGAGGTAAGAAATTATTATCTTCATTTTTAAACATAAATAAAAGTAAATGACTTCCCTAATATCAAGGGCTGAGCAGCAGCAGAGCCAGGATGAGCCTGTCTAGTCAGGAGAGCTGATCTAAACAAGAATCAACACACTAACTGATATTAGACAATATTTACGTTATTGTGGTTACATATTAATCAATATTAAAAGTTGGTCTTACTTTCACTAAATATTGCTATTGTCATCAAGGAATGATTTTGAAAACAAATATGACATATACATGCTAAAAACAGTAAGTAGAAAGTAACAATTGTTGGCAGGTATGTGAAGAAATTGGAACACTTACACGTATTGTTGCTCAGAGTAGGTGGTACAGCCACAGTGAGAAATGACAATTGTCATCCTTCCCAAGAGATAGAACCTATACCTTTTCTGTTATTTTACCTTTAAATTCTCAGTGCTACTTCCAACCTTATCAGATTCACATGAGAATAAGCACCTACTGCAAGAGTGTTATGGTTGAGAAAACCTGGTCTAAGGGACCACATCATACTTTAAATGTCGCCTAGGAACAGTTTACATATTGAGACAGCACACATTTGTACACACACTCACTAAGTGGCACCCCTCCATTATTTTCTTAATGAAGCTCAAGCTTATAATGTGAGGACATGATTTTTGCTGACTTTGTTCTGACAATAAAACCATTCCTCTTCTCCTCTTCCTCATTTTAATAAACACCACCATCATTCACCAGCTGCTCACGTACCAAGCTTGACAGTCACCAATGATTTCTTTCTTTCTGTCTAACATCCTGGAGCCATTAAATTAGAATGCTCTACTAGGTCTAGCATCAAAATAAACAGAGTCATTCTTTCCTCCTTTAGACCCCAGGGTCTGAGCTACCTCCACCGAGAAAAGATTCTAGCACTTTGACTTGCAATCTTCCTCCAAGTGTGTAATGCTTTCCCAAAACATTAAACAGAAAACCTAATGCCTTATGGCAACTACAAGGTCTCAAGTTCTCTGGAGTTTAACAAACCATTTTCCCCTAAAATCAACTGCATCCAGACAAACTGCCATTCTTGTTCATAATCAGAAATATTGGATTACCTCGGATGTTTGTAACTCCTGTTTATTTTGCCTGGACAAACACTGCCCTCAGATCATTGGTTAATATTACTAAATTTCAATGCTTTTTAAATATTATTAATTCATAATGTCTAATGAAAGATTTACTTCGATCACCACATAAGATGGTTTGAGATATTTTTTTCGTTTGGGACTAGTCTCTAGTGACAGTTTTAAGTGTTTGCCCATTTGTTATTTATCCACATAAATGCATAGAATTGTTTTCTTCAATAGTACCAAATTCCCTCTTATGGTGAATGACACTTCACTAAGTGTTCCATGATCATTTTCCATATAAATATCAAAATGCTCGTTGCCTAATTACAGGTATCCCTGTTTGGGATACAGATGAACTTCTTCCTCAAAGTCAATGAATCTTTCCCTTCCTCTAAAATCCTGAATCTTAATCCCTAGAACGTACTTGTGTGACTGTAAAATGAATGATTTTGAATGGGAGTGAGCACTGCGAAGTAGGTCACATTTACCAAGATTTTTAGTTTACTGATATTTTTTATTTTTAAATCTCCTTT